GTATAAATTCCACATCAATACAAAGCAAAAAAATTGGTAGGTCACCATGAAAATTGAATAAATCAGCATCATTAACATTTACATATGTTTTCTGCATTTGTTTCTTGAAACTACAGCAGCAATTTAAAAAACAAGACCTTCCAAATTCTTTAGTTGTGCATGAAATTTACCATATGTAGAGGGTTACCATAAAGTCTCCTAGTCTTACAGGAATCTGTCCTTATATAATGTCCAATATTTTATTATATAGGGACAGATATATTTATGAATTCTGTAACTTACAAAGAAATCTGCTCTTTCTGGCAGACAAAGATAATCTTCTAATTTGTCAAAGTCTGTTTTATTTTGTACTGGTAGCATATCTTCTATTTCCGTTTTTTTCTCATTTGTCAGATTCGATGGCTTTTCCGTGTTGAATACTTTTTCACTAATTTCCTTTAGCATTTCTCTCATGTGAAACATGATATTATGCAGCATTTCCTTCATCTCACACATGTTTTTTTGTATTTGTTCCAATGCTAAAGTTAAAATTATTTTCATAAGCATTAGTTCATCAAAAATCACAGCAACATACCTACCTGTGCAACATTTCTCGCAAGGAGCCATGTGAGGAACAATCACTGCAAGTTCTTCAAAGTCGACGGGTGCATCTTCTTCATCCGAGACACATCCGTCTTCAAACCTAACTACCGCATATCCAGTCGAAGATAATACTTCCATGTTTTTCTTCTAAACTGATAATATTATTTCTAAACAAATTTTTGGTTAAAAAAAACAAATAGTGCAATAACAACATATTGTTATAATAAAACTAACGTGAATTGTCAATAACAACAACAATACCGAAAACAAAGTGTCATATGATTTTTCACATAAAAATTTGATCTATTAGAACTCCTAAAAAATGAAATAACAACGTCCGTAATATTTTTACTTCCCAACTATAATTATGTAAGCGTGTACCAAATTTTAGTAGCTTGCCAGTGTAAAAAAGAACGTCAGATAGGGCCGTAAATTTTAGCTGAAACACCCTATATCTAAACTAATTTATAGTAGATAATCATTATTTCATATTATTTATGTATGAGGGAAACTATGACAAACAGTGATTCAACCATTAAAGGAAGTTTTATACACTTAGTTTTAACTCTTCTTGAAGAAATAATTGTTGTATTTTCTTCAAAAGTCTTTTCATTAGTTAAATAAAAACCAAATTGACTAGATTCTGAGGGATAAATGAAAAATGAATTAGTCTCCATAATTTTTTTCTTTCCCTATAATAAAAATTTCAGTATTTGATAAATAAAATTCAATTATCTTACAAACCGAGCCAGCATTTGTTTCAATGTAACAATTAATATCGTTCTTTGGCAAATAGTTATTTATTATACAAGTAGGTACAAGGTAGCATATAACTTACGAGAGAAAAGTTTAGTCACGAGCGACGAATTTTTTGTTGCGATTTTCGTTGTAACAGTTTTGTCGTCTTTTTCATAGTCTGTTCTCTTAAAAATTGTTGGTGCACTCTCTTGTTCTAAAATTCGATTGCATATTTATTTTAATGAGTTACGGCCAATTTTTATTTTGTTTTTAATAAATTGCATGTGATTTTCAAATTTGAATGTGCTGAAATTATCTAAAGGGCCAAATTGTTTTACATCATCCGCTATGTGACTTGGTTTGCGTATATGATATACTAAATATTCTTTGCCATATAAAACTGAAAAATTCTTCACAAAACATCAAAGCAAAGAATTTGTGCAGTTGTTATGTGTGAAGCACTTTTTTGTGTATCCAATAAAATTCTGGTGGCTACAATTAAAAGCAAAAAGTGTTCATAAAAGATTTTTGGTAAAGTTTCTTGTAAAACAATTGGACATGTATATAAAGGAAACTGTCTGAACTCGGTTGCTTTCCAACGTTCAAATTCTCGAATACTTCGTGGTTTTCTAGCAAATTCACAGACTATTTTGGATTTAATGGAATTAAAATAATTGTCAATTTTGTTAGCTGTTACTGAATTAAATTTTAATTTCTTTTTATTAATAGGTGGCGTGGAAATCCAGAAGCGAATAAGCCTTTTTATAACTCCTAAACAGATTAAATGCATTTAATCCATATTCTTTGAGAAAAATTTTCCAAAAGAGATTTATTCTTACTCCCTTTTGTACGCACTTAGAACAACCATAATACGACATATAATGAGGTACAGGTTCTGTAACAAAAGTTTTTGCGAGTGCGTCCCAAATGACAGAATTTATCGAAACGTTCATATTTTTTCTTTTTGCAGTACCTACATCCGATGCTTCATTTACAAAATCCTGAAGCAGTTCATGAGTAGTTTTAGGTTTACTAAAACCATGAAAAATAACTATTATAAATGGTTTAGTGCAAAAATCGCAAACAATTGCTTCTAATATAGGCCAAAGCTGACTATCCGAACCTTCTTCAAGAGATAGACCATCAGTATTTACGTTAATCGTAATATACGGACAAAATGAGTTACTAAGACCCTTCGCAAAGCCAAATATTGCAAATTTACCCGAATCTACTTTTTTATTGATGCTGTTAATGATCAACACCGAATCTATAACACTCTCCGCGTTTTCAAAAATAGTATTATCGTTATCTTTTTTACGAATTGTTTGTAACACATTATTCTCTTTCATAAAATTTTTATAATGTTGTAATCTACGGTATTTCTGTGTGTTTGATAAAGTACTAAATGGTTTTAAATTTGTTTTAGACATTTCTTGAACCGTACATTTTTGGCCTTGAAATTAAAAAAAAAACAATAAAAATTAAAATTATTAATTTATTAAATATCAACTTACCGTGTGTAAATAGCGACGACACTCTCTAACTCTCATTATACACCATATGCATTATAGTAAATTAATCTCTTAATGTTCAGTTCTAAAAAGCGCAGTTCATTATGTAGGTACGTACAGAAACAAAATTATTTAAGATTATAATTAGTAATGGCATGATGAATGATATCAAAAATCTTTATGAACAACTAACTCACTATTGACTTCGTGTCACGTGCAAGATTTAAAACAATGAAGAAATTTCTTTTTTTAAGATTTGTAATCTTTTGATTATTAATATACTTCTTGCAACCTGGACTAACACAATAAATGTAATATGTACGTTTGTGAAGGTTTTTTTTTGTGTTGCCATGTCAGAAGCAGCAATTTTTGATTTCACATGTTATGCATTATCTAAAATGAACCGGATAAAAGGAAAACACAAACTACAGATATAAAATAAACTAGTATTGCAGAATGAATTGGTTTATGAAGGAAAGTTCGTTTCCCGTGTTGAAAAATTTAATTCAAGATTAAATATTTAGGACTTTTTATTACAAAAAAGCGAATGACACAGTCAGGATATATACATAAATTTTTTCTGAAATGTGCGGATATATACATAATATATACCCAAAAGGGCTGAAATATGCAAATATATTTTTGCAAATGATGCAATGTTTTCAACTCATTACGATTTTAAGTGAAAAAAGGTATTACTTTCATTACGATTGTATTTAAAAATGAATGTCTATTTTTACCTGAAATACAATGGTAATTTTTTTTAATCACCCTGTATAGGCAAATCCAAAAAATATTAATGGAATGATAAATCACAAGTATGGACTCATCATATTTTGTACATTTTAGATAGGATTTATTCAGCAAAATTTTGGGGTGACGTCGTTAATTTGTTAGGCGGAAGAGCAAATACATTTTGATCAAAAATTTACCATGCTTATGACAACTTTAAAACATCTGCAAGATTTCAAAGCATTCAGTTTTGTAGTTCCTGATTAAATCAATAAAAATACATTTACGCATTCCTTAATTTTTTTGAGTCTGTATATGTAAATCCAAAAATTAAGGATGGAATGATAAATTACAAATACAGACTCATCATATTTTGTACATTTTAGATAGGATTTATTCGGCAAACTTTTGAGCAGACGTCATCAATTTTTTGGAAGGGAGAAGGAAATATATTTTCACTAAAAAATTATTATGCTCTTTATAACCTTAAAATGTCTGCAAGATTTCAAAGCATTCGGTTTAGCAGATTCAAAATTATATTGCAAAGTGTTGTTTTATAATTTTGATTTTTTTCAAAAAATCTGTACGTTTCGTGTCAAAAATCTATTCCGAGTCATAAACTACATGTTTAGGACTATGTTATTTTATACATGATTAGAGAAAGTTTGGTTAGCGTTTTACCATCCTAATATAAATACAAAATTTGACAACAATCGGCCCAGTACTTTTGGAGATTATCTGTCTAATAAAAATCCGGGACGGCAGACAGACGGACAGGCGGACAGACAAACACACGGAAACGGTAGACCTATTTCTTCGTCCTGTTGGGGTTATGACAGGTTGAGAAAACGTAAAAGTAAAGATTCGGCCGACGGACTCGATTACAATACTTCCTTTGCTTACTCTTGGGAAGTAAAAAGTTAATTTTTACTGTCAATGACTGCAGACGTAAAGATATAAATGAGTTAAATTTTTCCATTGCTATGAAATTCAAAATATTTATCTACATATAAGGTACTCATCTTATGTAAGTAAATGTTTCACTCCAATGAGCCGCAGAATAAGAAGGAATCCTGTTAGAAAAAAATTGTTTGAACTTTTATCTTCGGTTTTAATCAAAAATGCCCAAGATTTAGCCCACATTTTCCGTAACACCTTGTACAAGAAATAGAACACATTGCTCTAAACGGTATTTGCTTTGAAAATCTAACATACTATGCTACCAACCTTGTATAGAAATATCACACATTATAATTTTGGTTCGACTAGTAACAGTGTATGGTTATCAGTTCTAAATTTTGTAAATTATTAACTGCAAAATACATTTATTTTTTGCCTGTAAACTCATTAATTTACAATTCTTATTTAGTACAACTCTTTATCTATTCGTTGAAGGCAAAATTTAAATGTTGATTGTAAGTCAAAAACAAACAACAAGTGGCTACCAGTGTGGCATTACTGTTTCAATAATGAATAACGAAAAGTCGGAAGAAAGGCAAAATAACCCCAGGCAAACAGCAAATATATTTTCTAGAATAACTTTTTGGTATTTGATTATTTTAAACTAATCTATGCAGATATTTCATGGTGATGTTTAAGGTACACTTATGATTTGTTTAAAACAGGATTTAAACGAGAACTCGAAGAAAAAGATTTGTACGATGTACTTCCTGAGTTTAACACGTCGGAACTGGGAGACCGCATGGAACGCGAATGGAATGAACATAAAAAAGATAAGAATGCTATGTTTTTAGTTTTGTGGAAAATGTATGGCAAGTATTACTGTATACTTAGTGTGACCATGCTTTTTACTATTATACTAAAGTAAGTTAATCTTCATAAATCAAAAACCTAATTTAGTATGTACTTCTAGCGTTATACGTCCTATAATAATTGGTAAAGTGGTTTCCTTTTTCACTCCAGGAGAAGAAAATTTAAGTAGAACGCCTGCCTTGCTCTACGTTGTATTTTTACTTGTACTTCAATTAGTAGATGTCGTTTGTAAACAAAATTATCTCTTCATGATAGAAAATTTAGGCATTAAGATTCGCAGTGCTTTTTGTTCACTCATTTACAGAAAATTTCTTAAACTTCCAGTAAGTCGCTTACGTTACATTACCTTTGGCAATGTTGCAAACCTAATAACAAGAGACATCAGTGCATTTGATCAGTTCTTCATTAACTTCACCTATGCTTGGTCTGGGTTCATCGTCGCTATGATTTCATGTTACAACATGTATCGCCGTATTGGTTTGCCAGCTGTCGTCGCAGTTCTTGCATTTGCAATATTGATTCCACTTCAGGGTACGTAAGAATTAATGTAATAGACGAACGAAAAATGTTCTGCCATTTTGAAACAATATGATATTTTATTATCATTTTGAGGGTAAAATCAGAATACTTTTACCATTATATTATTAATGCTCGGCATGGCGGAAGTGATTCTTATTGCCGTCGGAGCGCCAGCACTATTGCAGTCGTCGCCTACCTATAACTTCTGGACTTCTTAATAACTTCTGCTAGATGTTAAAATGTTTTAAAAATTAACATTGAGTGGTCAACATCACAATTTTTGTGATGATACTGATTAGATAAACCCTGATTTGCATCAAACGCCACTGAGGTTGTGACATGGTTGAGACTGCACAGTTGGCCAGCCAAATTTATCGCCTTACGTCGCGCTGTCGTTTTTAATATTTTTCTGGGGGATTGCCCATCATTTCCGCTGTGCCTAGCTTTATTTATAACCGATATATCCACTCCCGCAGTCCCGCATCGACCAGTAAAGAGGCTGCAGTCCTTCGAAAACAATGGGTGGTATACTGTTTTGCATTTTGAAGTTCCAGAAAATTTGAGATTTTACTTTTAAGGCCATCGAAGACATTGATACTCATTATTGGCACGGTGTAACTTCCTTTTAACTTCCTGAGCGTAAACCGCTTTTATGTTTTTTCGACATTTCATGAGCATAACAAATTTTTGTATTGATCAAATCAAGGATAAGTCACTCCATTTTCTCGAAAAGGCGAGAATACGCAGGTCTTTATTTACCTAAAATTACAATAATAATAGTCAGAATATTCTGTTAAACTTTGGCTTAATTAATAATTTTAGTCCTTTGTCTTGAAGCGACAAACTCATTCAAATTGTATATCGGAGCAAGGGAAATTCTGTCGAAATATACTTTGACAATTTTTTTACAAATATCTGGTTGACCGAGCTTCACTCGGCTCGTTTGGTAGTATTAGATCAGATTAGGACAGATAAATATGCGTATAGCATGCATTTTGAAGTACACGCGCTACTTAAAAATACACATTAAAAAAGAAATTCCATAAGCAGTCTTTGTTTTAAACACTGATAAGTGACATGTAGAGATTAAAGAACAGAAAACTGGAATTATTGTTTGACATCTCATTTGTTACCCAAGTTTTCTCTCTGTCGTTTTTTTTTCCTAGTTCTCTCTCTCGACTCTAGAAAAAGGTCACAACCACATTCTTACTGCCAGAAGAGTTTCGCCTCTGGTGTGGTTAACATACTGAGTTACCGTGCTCTTTTGTGTTATTCCTAATTTCTCAATCTCAACCCTGCTCCCGAAGATGCCATTTACGAAAGTGTGAGAAACGTTGAGCCCAAAAACTCAAATAACACGGTCCCATCCCCGAAAACGATCACATGTTGACACTGACCGTGGAACCTCTGAAATGAATGCTTGACAAAATAATCTCAATTCAACACACTTTCGTGTGCCTTTTATCCGCTCACTGTTTAGTTTTTGGTAAATTTTCTCACCTCAGGAGGTGAATTTCAACGTCCTCTATACAGTGGAGTATGTTTCGGTACGTACAATTGAAGATAAAAAGGTACGTCAAACGTACTGTCAGACTGTCACCCAAACTTCTCATATAAAACAATCTCGTGTTCGTGTAGTGTCATCTGATGTTGCTTAGCAACAAATATAATTCACTGCCTGAAAATTGCTGAAAATGCATGAAGCTGTAATTTTCAGAAGTTAAAACTATGATCAATCGATTTCTTGACCCAAAAAACCCCTAACCTGTAAATTTCATCGAAATCGTTAGAGCCGTTTTCGAGAAACCCATTACATATATATATATATATATATACAGGGACATTTTTTTAACTCTGAACATACACCATAAAATCCCTATGTTCAATCTGAAAAAAAACACGTCAATGTATTAGAAGTATGCAACCAATATTACATGGAACCTACGTGATAATTAGAAAAAAAAAAATGATTTAAACTTGTCAACTTGTCAAAATATAATTTGAAAATTTGAGAATACAAACAATGTTTTATACAACGGAAGAGAAAGTACAAATTTTAACTTGGTATCGTCGGCACAGAATTGTACGTGATCTTTTTTCAGTCAATTACGCCAATAGACCAATTGTGTCAACACCCACGGATGCGTCGAATATAAACATCGTTAGAGAAACAGATCAAATTATGTCCTATCTGAGGAAGTATTAATATACAATTAAACATCTTATGTTATCCCCGCAAAGTTTTAAAACAGTTTAAATACAAATGTTATAAACTCACCAAATCATCAATAACTAAGTCCAGAAGTAAAATTAGAAGAACGGATTTTTGAGAAACAGTATTTAATTTAAGAAACAATAAAAACATTTTACAAAACATCGTATTTACACATGAAGCATTATTATCATTAGATGGTAAAGTCTATTCCCAAAATTTTCGGTTAGTCCTGTTAACTCCCTTGTCCCTTCGTCTTTTTCCTTTCTTTACAGCTATTAGTCAAATGCTAATCCTCGTCTGCAAAATTTGACAAGAGCACAATATAACCGTAGGGCTAAAATGTTGGAGGGAAATATAAACCAAACCTTAAACCTGGTCCATTTTTTATTGAAGAAAATTTGAATTCTAATTCCTTTTTAAGACTGCTTCGTTACCACAGTGCACCAAATTCAATATTTAAGTTTTGATGATTGGTTTCGTTTCAAATGGATGGAACTCCCCCACATCCAACTGCAATAACACATTATTTACACGAAATCTTTAGAGCAATTGACCAAAAAAATAACACGTACCTACCCACAACTCGACTGATTACATGGCGATAGTACCAATTTAATATTTTTACGTTTTCTTCTGTTGTATTCATTTCTTAAATTTCCAAATTATATTTTGACAAGTTGACAAGTTGGCAAGTTTAATTTTTTTCTATTAATCACGTAGGTTTGATGTAATCTTGGTTGTATACTTTCAATACATTGATGTGTTTTTTTTAAGATTGAACATAGGGACTTTCTGGTGTATGTTCAGAGTTAAAAAAATGTCCCTGTATAAATATATATATACAAACTTTGCTCGTTTAATAGTATTAGATTTATAAAAATGAGAAGTATAAAATGGACGCAGTGCTGCATATTTGAGAACAATGTTTACTAAATTGACGCCTTTGCAATTTCCTTTTGTTACTGTGAACTCGCTAGGCACTTTTGTTTTCTTCCTTTCCTCGCCCTTATAGTACATTCCAATAAATCTCCCTTCTTTGAAAAAATATAAAATTCAATTTTGCGATTTTTGTTTACTAGTGACATAAATAACACCCTTGCGCTACAGAATCGCAAATTTGAATTTCAAGTTCGTAGTCCGCCTCCATACAAATGTAAACAGTATGAAATGTATTGTTACGAAATAAACCCATACGCCGCCTCGGTATGACGCCAGAATGAGCTCGAAGCGATGACGACGAAATATCGAGAAAGGAATGTATGGGTTTAAATAGAGACCACCGTCAGAAGGAGTCAGTCAACGAGAGAATTCAGTCAAGTTGATCCAAAATTGTTTTGTACAAAATCGCTGTGTAAATTGTTGAGTTTTATCCAGACCGATTTTAATTACCGATCTTCGTAACAGTATTTAAAGCAAATAACAAACGGGAAATAATAAGTATATTACATACCGAGGCGGAAAGTATTCCATTCCTGTCGAGAGAACTATAGTTTACCGAGAGGCGCGTCTCGAGGTGAACTAGTCCTCGAGACACAGGAATGGTACTTTTGCCGAGGTTTGTATACTGTTTTATTCGCAATCGTTTTAAGTAGATTTATCCCGCAAATTGCTCATAAAATTCAACCTCAAGGTAATGGCCCGTGATAACAATGTGAAATAAAATGGGGACACCGATTAAAAAATGGCAAATAAATGACATATGTCACTTTCCACCCTTGAGATTGAACTGAAGTGTGTAATAGCTCACTTCAAAACGGATTCGAGTTTATTTAAAAAATACTTAAAATCCGAATCAGGACTTCAATAACAAGTTAGAATTACATGTGTAGTGTAGTGTAGTATTTAACTTCTGATAACAAATTGATTATAGTTCGATACATTAAAACTGAGAAAACACCCTTCTGAACATTATATTATACACAGTCGGTGAATGAACTGTGATAACCCAAACTATGGCCGACTAAACATCTCAATTCAAAATTTGGCCTTGCAAATGGTGGACCCGAAGGTTGGCAAAGTAGGTACCGCAAAATAAAACGCAAGATAAATGGAGGACACAAAATTATTTATTCCTACACTGACAAAAAAAAGAAAACAAAAAGCTGCCACTAAGTTGCATAGGTTGAAGACCTTCTTAGTGCTCAGCTCCAAAAAGAAAACTTTGAATGAAATCAAATTAAACGTTCTGAATCAATGCAAATATTTGAATATCACAAATTTAATAAGAACAAGAAAAATCTGAAGTAAAGTAACTGGATGCAAATACACAAGTTATTCCGGATCTGTGGCGGCAAATTTAAAATTATTTCAGACAACAAGAGACCAAAATTTTAATAATCGAGCTATGTCAATTTCAATCTAGAGCACAACAAAAATACCCATAGGGGGCGTTGTAGCACGAGCGGAGTTTGGGGCTTCTGGTTGTAGCTGGACTTCTATTTTATCAGCAAGCACTAATGCCCAGCACCCCTCTATCTAACGAAGAAACGTGCCGCGCTAACCAGGCCGTTACGGTCGCAAACTCGTTGTTGGAAGTCACGGCTATAAATAAGCTGACAGCGTCACGTCGTCCTGACCGTTCCCTTGACTTCTATATACATCCTGCATCCTTTGGGCTCGAATAGGAACCGCGCCCTCCGCTTCTGGCACGTATTTCGGTGTTATTTGATCTCAGTTACATTTAAATCTTCAATTTCCATGACTCTTACATTAAACTACAAGTGAACAAGTGTCAAAGTTTCAAAAAGAGCAATAAACAAGATTTAAATTCGCCATACAGTCTCGTGTATATGTATGT